TACAAAGAAGGGGTCGAATTTCCAGCAGGGCGTCCTGTTTTTTTGGACAATATTCTACATGCCGTAAAACAGTCGAAAAAAGTTCTGGGTTTTTATTGACACATAATGCCATTAAATCACAATGGGTCACTTTTGAAATCTTTGATGGGGCTTGAGAAATCGCACCGTGAAGATGAAATGTGCATTCGTCTAGTTTTCGAAGGAATTTCAGAAAAAGAACGCGAAGAGTTCAAGAAGGGGTCATTGCATGTGATACCGGATGTTGTGTTGGATTTTAATAAAGAATCATGGAAAGAAACTTTAGTAGATAAAATCAAAGGTACTGATTTCTTATTTATTTGACTTTAAAAAAGTTGTATAGTTTGTATGATTGATGATGATGATGATGATTATTGATGATCATGAGGATGATGTGGTAGAACTTTGCCTTATAATTCCTGGCTGATTGAAAACTATTTACTTTGTATTTCATTGTATCTCATCAGAAATGCTCACCAAAAATATCGATTGCTTAAACGCAGAGCAAAAAAAAATAAGTTTTTCGAAGAGGCATAGACTGACGCCTGACGCTTAATATAGTACAGTTAATGTAGGTACCTGCCAGATTCTTTTGAAAAAGCGATCGTAACTTTCGTGTTATAATGACATTATAACCCATTGCGAGCATTGCGGTGGCTGATTTGGTACACTTTGCGCGTTGCGTTGTCGAAAGCGACAACACAACCTAAATCGTTATGGCTTTTCGTCTTGTCGTCTTATCGCTAACGAAACGCGCCAAACGGCGTGTTGTCACACTGTCGTCTTGTCGTCCTGCCGCAAGCGAAGAATGCCAAACGGCGATTTGAGCCGGACGACAATGTGACATCGCGACAACACGCCGCAAGTCGACACACCGTTTGGCGTGCGGACAAGACAAAAGTCAAGACAACGTGCCGTTTGGCGCTTTGTCGTTCTGTCCAGTGTTTTTTTTTCACCAAAATATTCGGCGAAATTCTCCGCATTCCCCTCTCAAAATAGTATGTTTTTTTCCCCCCTCAAAGCTGAAATTTCCCCCTATAATATGGCAGCCCAAGTTTGGCCTGCAATAAATATCATTTTTTTTGCAACTACTGCTGAAAAATGCTTTATTTTATGCCTGTAAGACTTACTGTTAAGCAAGGGTTTTTCATATAGGTAAGGGGAGCTACTCCTGTAATCCCAACAAGTTTATCAGTGACACATCAATATTTTAGATCCGTATAAAAATCTCCCCTCCTGTTGCATTTTTCCCCCTCCAATGGGCACCGACCCCCTTCCCCCAAAGTGAAAAAAAAACACTGCTGTCTCTAGCGGCAACACGACGTATAAAAGTGTTCCAAATTTCAGCCAACATAAGTAAGGGTTTTAACAGTTTTATAAACATACATAAACTTGGTTTTTTATTTGTCTTTATCATCCATGTGTTATTGTTCTTACAGAAGCGTGTTGAAAAATGCAGGAATTGTTGCCGGCAGGGAATGGTTGCACATGGTCTTTGTGTTTAACTATTTTATTGGTTACTTGGCTTTATTGCACTTTCCGGGTGAGTATAGGTCTCTTTGTTTATATTTGTCAGTGAGATACTTAGATTTTATCAATGAAATATATGTGATGTATTTCACTGTTAATCAGTTTAGTTTCAAAAAACACTTTTTTGCTTTCAAAAAACAAAAAAATAGAAAAAAATGCGCTAAAAAGAAGGAAAATAAGTAGGGGATATGAATTTTGACTTTTTTAAATTATAGGGCGCCCCTGGGGAAATTAAAATTTTTTAAAAGGGGAAATAGTAATTTTTTCCATTTTTTTTGGGTGTTTTACATTTAAATTTTAAATAAAAGTTTCCCTATTTTCTAAGAAAGGGGTTTGGCTTCTTTAAATCTGTGGGAATAAAAAAAAACCATTAAAATTTTTTTTGGGAATATTGAAATTTATTCAAAAAAGTTTTTTTTCACCCAAGGCCAAGACAGTTAAAAAATGCGAGTACATTCAAAAAAGGGAAAAATTCTCACTAAACTTTTTCCTTTTTTTACCTAAACTAGGGGAAAATTTAAATTTTTAGGGGGTTCGATAGGGGGTTTTTAAACATAAAAAAAAAGGGGAAAAAAGGGTTAAAAATGGCCCGGAAAACCCATGGGATAAAAAAGGGAAAATTAACCCGCCTGTTTACAGAATATAAAAGGGGAAGGTTCAGATGGGGTTTAACTTTATTTAAAACTATTATCATACTTTTTTTTTCAATCTTTTTATCCCCAAAGAGAAATTTTTTTAGCCCCAAATTATTTTTTTTGGGTTTAAACCTTTTGATAAAGTTTCCCAAATTTTAAAATCAAAAGTGGGGAATATTCTTTTTGGTTACAAAAACCCAATATTTTTGTTTACTGTTTATGTAAAGTCTTTTTTTCTTTTTTCAGTCATTTTTTCACTGGGGAAAATACCCTTATATTGGCTAAAAGTAAAAGATGAAAAGGGGATGGGTTTTTTTAAAAATTTGGGACCTAAACAAAAAAATGGTTCGTTTTAAAGATGACCCCTTGAGGGAAATTTGGGTCCAGAAAGGAAAAATTTGGGACCCCAAAAAATCTGCCAAATTTATTTCTTATAAAGGTAACTATTGATTTTTTGCTATATAATAAATCTTTAGTTGAAAGTTTTTTTTCATGATTTTCTTGCACTTTGTAGCCTCCGTGACCGAATAAGTTAAGGTCGCAGACTTCAAATAACTTGGCCCTCACCGAAGTGAGTTCGAATGCCGTCAAGGACATTGGATTTTTTCATGTATGGAAGCTTTCCATCTAGCTTACGGAAGGTCGGCGAAATGATGCACGAAGAAGCATATGAGGTATTTGTCAACCAATGAAGCTTGAACGTTACTATATGACCTTTAAAGTTTCGGTTTGACCTAAAATTCACCAAACAAACAAAAATGTGGTGTATGAACAGAAATTGCGACCTCATTTTTTTTAAAATCTGAATGATTATTTTGTTTCGTTATAGACCCGGATGAGTCGCTAGCAGATATGATATGGAAATGTATGATTGAAGAATTTACCAAAGTTTCTGTAAGTGTTGTTTAGTTATACAAACACTATCGATGTGCTGTCTTTGGTTTTTGTTAAAACATTAATTCTTTATTACTGAAGTCATTTGAGGAAACATAGTCTTGATCCCAGTAAAGCTCCAGCCAATTGATCCATGATCTCTGGCTTCTAAACCATTCATTAAGTCACCGCTTTCCTTTTTTATGTTGAATTTCTTCTAAAATTTACCTTTCTCAACGTTTGCTGACTAAATTATTAAGACAAATTACAAATTAATTTAACTGGCTTCCATAGTTAATTTAGCGGATTCGCTTTAACCGGCATACATTTACGTGGATTAGCGCAAACATCACCAAAGAAGTCCTGTTTTTTTTCTCCAAAACTTAACCTCCCTATACCAATGTAACAAATACGTTGAAGATAGCGTCATGTACTTATAAATGCAGAATAGAATTATAATGTCTTTCGTAAATTATGTTTTAAATTAAAATAGTATCGTGATTTTTGTTTATATATAGAAAGGAGAACAGACAGGAAGCAAAACCGTTACGAGGAAGAAAGCCGAATATACGGAGGTAGGTATTCACCGTCTCTTTTTAGGTTATTTTTGCAGTTTTTGGGGAACATGACCTGTATATATGAGATTGAGAATTTTAGTGGTGTTAAACGTTTTACTAAAATAGGAATGATGTCAGATTTTCCAGACATCCGTTCTGCAGTAAATAAGATTTAAATCTTACATTATACGTGCAGATTTGGTTTAAGTACAACTTTCCACGCGTTTGTCCCAAGAAAAAATTGATATCAGATTTTTGATTAGGTTTTGTTGAGAATAGTAATCGGAGAATTTGTTGACAAAAATCAACTGGGGTGACTGTTAGCTAATTTCTGTTGAAAATCTGGGGGAAACATGAATACATAAATTATTTCTGTTATATTATCTTTGTATTGGGCAAAGATATCAAAAATATATTGCAGACGGAAAAAATGTAACAAGTTGAAAAGATATGCTACCAGTAACGAAAATGAACATTAAACAGTTAACTAACTTAACTAATTCCATTAATTAATTAAAGGGAGAAAAGGCAATTACAGCAACAATTACTCATATGGGAGAAGGAAAAGATCGCTCGACAGCTGAAGATATAGAAAAATATTTAGGTGAAAAGAATGTCAAATTCCACAACGGGGAAGGCAAAATGAACTTTCAGGTGCTTGAAGACGCTCGTTGGAATATTTTTGTGTTATCGGAAGATGCGATGGAAGATGATACCATGGTAACACAGTATAGAGCAGCGCTTGAATGTTCCATTTCTGATAACGAAGTACAGGTACTGGTTGTTACACATTTTTTGTATTGTAATTGGTTTTCTAAAGTTTTCCTTGTGAGCCTTCATATAAGGTTTCCATTTTCACTGTATTATCACTATCAAATAAGGTACTAATTCCTTATATTGCCACCTAAACATTGTTCTTATCGGCAAGTTAGTTCTATTTTTATGCTGTATTTGTTGTTTAAACTTTAGTTCAAAACATGTCTTGCATACCTAAATTGTAATTATTTTGTTTATCATAACACCATAAAGCATAGTTTGTGAATCACTTTCTTCAATCACTTCGTCCCGCCCCTTCGTATCGTCTCGATTGTGTTATTTTCTACAGCTGTTGAACCTGTCTTTGTACCGGGATAATTGAATGTTGGACTTGAGAAATTCTTTTATGAAATGCCTACTGCATTAATATGTCGTTTATTTACAAGAATAAACATCACTGGAAATAAGAACTTTGGTTCTGCAAAGGCATATCAATGTCCCCATTGACTAATTGATTGTATTCCTTGCCACTCGTGGGTTTGTAAGCTTTTGTGTTCTATTATTAAGTGCGTAGGTTTTATTCACATTTTTAAATGCATTTTGTCACAGTAACGGCTTTTTTATTTTCGCTGCTTTTGTTTGTTATATAGTGCATGTTTCCAGTGAAAGTTTATTGTTACCTATTTTGAACTTTTCATTACAAATCAACATCTTTAGGTATTATTACCTGTTCATTTTTGTCTTTGTATTACCCAAAGGTATTTTTTTTTCAATATGTATTTATGCCACAAAAGTTATCCGATCGAGGACATTGGTGGAGTTAAATTTACATTCTGGGATAGCTCTAGATTGTAAAGAAGTAAATATATCTCACCGTTCTAATAACTCTAATAAATCCTTTTTTTTTAGGTTATTCCTGTTCTGGCTGCAGGCACAGATATTAAAAAAATACCGGACCTTATGAAATGGACAACACTTTTGAAGGAAGACGAACCAGAATACTTGAATAAATTGTGGAAAGTCATGAACGGTTTGTTATTGTTTTTGTTATCTGTTTACTTTTTTTATTATTATTTACTTGTTCCTTTCTGAGTGATAAATGTTTTCAAATTATGACGGATTAAGACAAGCTTTTTAACAAATGCATCAATCTATCAAATTTTAGAGAAGAACGAATGATAGACAACTGATTTAAATATGAGTGGCTATAAAAATGAAAATTATTTTACCATTTACATTTATATATGCCCCTACATAAATATGAATAAAAATTTTGATATATTTCTTTTTTTTATAAAATAATAGTATAATTGAAAAATACTCACTCCTATTTATCGGTTTAAATCTCTTTCTTCTTTTTTACATGTTATTTTGAAAAACGTTTGTACATCACTTTCAGAGAAAAGGACTATGATGGAGTTAATACCATCAGGAAAAATATACGAGGGATTTGCATATGCTTATCTTATAAACTATTTGCCATATAACCTTACATATAAGACACCAGAGGGCAGAGGTAAACCATTTTTATATATTTCTATGATTCCATGTTAATGCGTAGCTCATTTTTCAAGATGAAAAAAGTTCGAGTTTTGTATTACTATTCCAAAATGTGTCCATAGTTTGTTAAGAGAAGCACATTTTAGTTGATTATACCTCATGTAAACCTTTTACTATATAGACTTATGTGACGTCATAGGGTGTTATTTCGTTATATCATTCTGGAAATGAATATCACTCGGTCAATAAATTTTTAAAATATTTGGGTCCGCCTTGAGTGATATTTCAGTTCTCGGGTTATATAATGTTGCGTTACCGTCTTTAAATGAGCTTGACTAAAGTGCAAACGCCTTAAAAAAACATAATGTTTGATTTTTTTACATAGATCAACTGGGGTACTTAAAACAAAAAGGTATGAAAACAAAAGATTATGATGCAATATATGCACAAGTAAATTGAAAATTGTATTTTTGGGTTATGTTTGCTCCAATTTGAGTAAAAAGCGTTGCAACGCTTTTCAGTTATGTATAATATCATTATTCTGAAATGGAGTGACAGTCATCGTTTTTTCCAAAACAGTTCATAACCTTTGGGCTAGAATCATGATGAACAAGGATTATCCCAACGTTAACTATAATGTCAATCACCACCGCCTTCTAATTCATGATTCCCTAAACATATTTTTATTCATCGTAATACATATTCAACATGTGTAATACAATGTTTTATATATGGTAAATTGTTTCCAGATTTTACACAACGCTTCATTGATGCAAAGGAAAAATATCAGATAAAGGAGCCATGTGTAAACAAGGTTTATGTTATCGTTCCCAAGTCATGTTCCTTTCCTAAACCTGGAAGTAAGATAACAAATGAGGAACATATTGGTGCTTTGGAACCGATTGTTGATGGTTTCAGACAATATTTTTTACAATTGTACAGATTGACCATGTCAAATGGACAAGTAAGTTTATATTTATATATATATTATATAAATATTTCTATTACTAAATGCTATATATGATTGTTGCTTTTTTAAGCACGTTTGCTACGAAGGAAATGTAGAGATGCTGTAGTTGTCACCGTCGTGCAAAAACTTTAATGCAGCCCATTATTCAAACACTCTGAAAAATATAACAACACGAAACGTAGAATATTTGGTTGAAAGACAAGGGACATAAATCTGAAATATAAATTTTTGGAGTTATGCCCATTTTAACTTGCTCTGTCAAAAACTTATTTATCATGACCAGGGCAATTGTTAGATAAAGGGCAAAATTGATAATTTGAAAACTTTATCATTTGAGTTATGTCCATTTGTTACTGAGACTTTCAAAATTGCTTATTAGTAGAAGGATTTCAACTAACAATTATTAAATATATCAACATTTAACTAACACTTGATTATCGCGACAGTGCACAGTAACTGTCGTCAGACAGAGGAATTATCCTGAAAGCAAAGTTTCTTGTAGTGACTTCATTTTGTAACTTATTATAAATATAAAACTTATTTGTTGACAGACATGCGGTGCACTTGTTGAGAATTTTACTTTTGCTCTTAAGTAATGAAATTTCATATTTTTTGGTGGATGTAAGCTTAAAGATGCCAAAACATGGAATTTATATATTTTCCTTCGTCTATCTTGTCTTCAACAACAAGCTATCAATTAGGCTATTTTATGGACATAAAACATTTTCATTAGCAATATTTCAGTCAGTTACAACGGTCTTTATCAAAATGTAACATATTTATGCAATTAGGGAAACGAAATATCGAAATTTTGCATCCATACTAATATACATTGATATTTCAGTCCTGATTAATTTAAGGAATCTTTGTGAAATCTATTATTATAAAACCACAAATGCACAATTGTACTTAAAGTGATGAGGATATTAATGATGATGAAAATGATGATGATAATTTTGAAGATGATGACGATGACAATATTGATGATGTTGATGATATTCAGGGTTGCCAGCAGACTTGAAAAGTCAGGGAAATCTGATATTTTTTTAAGGTCAGGGAATTGTCAGGGAATTTTGAAAATTGGTCAGTGAAAAATAAAAATCCTAAAAAGTCAGGGAAAAGTCAAGGAAAAATAATTTTGAAGAATTTTCCTTATATGTATAAAGTAAAAACTGGAAAAAAACCATGTTCACCTCTTTTAAGAGCTAGAGCTTAGATTAAGCATGTAACATCTTCAGTGAGTGTCTACCAATTTTGTACAAATAAAAGCCTTTGGGTCAAAATTTGCCCAGTTAAGGTGGTCATTGATTTTCCTTATATGTTTAAATAAACTTAAAAATTCTTGTAACAAACCCAAAAGAGCTAGAGTTTAGATATTAAGCATGAAACATTTTCTAGTGTGTGTCTACCAAGTTTGTTCAAATAAAAGTCCTTGGGTCAAAATTGGCCCACCCCAGGGGGTTACTGATTTTCCTTTTATGTACATAGTAAAAAAAACAAAACAATATCTTCTTTGAAAAACCCAAAGAGGTAGAGCTGTGATATTTGGCATGAAACATCTTTTAGTAAGTGTCTACCAAGTTTGTTAAAATAAAAGCCCTGGGGTCAAAACTGGTCCAGTCATGGGGGTCATTAATTTTCCTTATATGTATATATAGTAAAAACTAAAAAGTCTTCTTTTAAAAAACAAAAGAGCTAGAGCTTAGATATTTGGCATGAAACATTTTCCAATGGGTGTTTACCAATTTTGTTCAAATAAAAGCCCTGGGGTCAAAATTATTCTTGTTCATGGAGAGTTTTTATATTCACATGAGTAATTTCAGGGCCATCAATGACCACCCTCTTGTTATTGATTATATTGGCTATGGCAGTATTCTGTAGCTCAAGATAATAGTTTTGCTTCAGACTTGATCTTATCAAAAACATTTTACTGAACACAAAATACCAAACTTAGATGTATAAAGCATGTTTTATTGACCATATTGTTAAAAGCATTAAAAAAAAAACAAAAACAAAAACTTATGGGTGCAGGGCTTTTTTTCACAGGTTGGGGAAGTAGCCCTGCCCTTAATTTTGGGTATACATTAATGGTTTATTTGCAAAAGGGGAAGAAAAAACATGATGTAAATTATATTTTGTGGGAAAACTGCATGATTTTAAAGAATTTCTTTTTGGGAAAACAGTCCTATAATGGCCCCTGCTATAGAAGGGAAAAAAGCCCTGGGATGAATTGGACGGCTGTAGGGGGGGGGGGTGGAGACCGTTTAAGTTTGGTAGTTTTAGTCAGTGAAAAACCTAATTTGGTCAGTGAATTGTCAGGGAAAAGTCAGGGAATTTTATTTATCTATGATGCTGGCAACCCTGATATTGATAATGATGATAATAATACTGATGATGATGATAATGTTGATAATGATGACGATGATAATATTGATGATGTTGACGATGGTGATGATGATGAAGATGATGATATTATTATTGATGATGATAATGATGATGATAATGTTGATAATGATGATGATAATATTGATGATGTTGACGATAATATTGATGATGATGATAATGAGGATGATGGGGATTATAATATTGATGATGATGATGATAATGATGATGATAATAATATTTATGATGATGATGATGGTGATAATGATATCATTAATGATGCTATTCAGTAGTATTTGCCTGATTTGTCCGTTAAGATTTACTGAACAATATTGCAGTTACTAAAAAAATAATCATTTTAATATATCTGCAGAAAGTATGTTATGCCAGGGAGTATGCCACACCCGCCATTGCTCTCCATGATATGGCTCAGCTGCCATTTGCTGGTGTGAGTAAAGAAGCAATGAACGAGCAAGCCAAGATGTTTGCAGAATTTTCAGAAGAAATTATGAAGAACAAGATATTTAATGATACGATAGGAGATGTGCGGGACAAATGTGAAATGGTTTATTTCGATGGTTTGTATACTTTTTTTCTATTTAAAACATGTTTTAGAAATAAGATACTAAAATCACCCGATTGATTTGCAGAACTAAAGATAAGTCCAATATTGTCAATTTTAACTTTATTTAATAGTAGAATTTAACTTGAAAAGCATGCCTGACAACCAAATTACTCTTATAGACACACTGTGAAAAAGGGGTACAACAAATAAAATCGGTGACAACTCGTGTACAGCTTGTGTACAGCTTAAAATATATTTCACTTATGTTAATATATGACCTATTGATTCGTCTCATTCGAAATACGTCATTTTAAATGTATGGTAAGTAATGTGTTAACAGGACCAGCGATTCATTAAAATTTGAACAAATATTTTTTGTTCTTACTTTCTTTGCAATTATATAATTAACTTTGTTTGTTTTACTTTCAGATGAATTAACCGGAATGGACGGTGTAATAGATGTCCTTGAAGAAAGATTAAAGAAATGTTTGGACACTGGTAGCTACGTCTGAAAACATAATGGTAGTGAATTTTAAGTAGAGTATTAATATAAATAATAATTTTGAGATGTGTTTAAAGGAACAAGAGTTGTTTTGATGGATGTATTTGATATGATATACATGTGTATTATGTTTATCCACGAAACTAATACTGGTACTTAAGAGGGGCTTATTTTCTATAACTTAAAACATTAAAATGAAATACGTGTAAATTATGATAGAAAAATGTATGTTTTGATGCTATGTCCGGAAAGAGAAATGACTGTTTGAACTATAATTATAGAGGGAACAGTGGATCAAGCTTTTTTTTTTATTTTTATGTACACGCGATGAAAGTATTGTGTTGTGAAATTGTGTAGTTGTTTAATGAAATATAAAAATGTGTACTAACATTTCACTTACTTTGTTTAGATAAACGATATACATTCCTACGAACATGTTTGTTTAAAAGTTGTTCTAAGTTTAAAAATTGATTTGCTTAGATCATTTTGCTAAATGTTGTAAACAAACTTGCAATAATGTCCAGCTGAATGAGACCAATATATCACCAACTGTTCTCAGGGGTCACTGGTATACTAAGATGTCAAAAGCAAATAATGAATTAAATTATACTTGTCTAGGCAGCAAATGCGCCATGGATATTGAGATTACTAAGAAATATAGCACCAATGTTAAGCTAAAATATTCTGTATGTTGCTACTAAAATCAAAACTGTAGGTTAAATCTCAAAATGTCCTTTGAGATCGAAAGTAAGAAAGTAGAAATTAGTGAAATCGTTCTTGTCCGGGTTGTAAGCTGGCCACAGATTTGTGGATTCATGAAACATTTGAGACAAATGCTTATTTCAATGTAGTTCGATGGCGCACTAAAGAATCAGAATCAAGGTCAATGTCGAAGTTTGGGATCAAAGGTTAAAAACGAGAAGAATTCTGGTTGTCCTTACTTGTCATGAATTGTCAGATTCTCAGTTTACATGACACAAGGTCGGTCTCGAAGTGTCTCGCACAAAAACAAAAATGGAAGGTCAAAGGTCAAGGTTATATTTAGGGATCAGTATTGAAAGAAAGTGAAATTCTGGTTGTCTGAGCTGTAACTTCATGGATTGATGATTTCGCAAATAATAGGGAATATGTAAAGTTAAATGAACCGGCGTGTACAATAAATATTATATAGCCCAAAGGTAAAGGTCATACTTCAGGTTAAAGGTAAAACTTATAAAAGAAATTGGCTTGTCTTGGCTATAGTTTTGCAATTAATTGTTGCATTCTTAAAATAAAGAAAGAAAAGAAACATAGCACAAATGTCAACATCAATAAGGCAGTATGTCGCACTCAGTCAAGAACACAAGAGTTAGTTTCATGTTCTGTTTTACGGGCATACCAGACCATGTTTCACGGACTTTATCCACGTTATGATGCGCTATCTGTCCGAGTCGCAATAAATGACTAAAAGTTAAATATATCTTATGAAATTTGTCATTTAAATTTAGTCCCAGTAATATCACAAGTTTTACACGATGTCCTTTTTGGGTCAGATAAAATGTAGTCTGTTTACATTCTAACTAAAGTTTTGTGTCGCCCATTTTTGTTTCATTAAACCCCTGTCACACTAGGACGGCGTTCTCACGGCGTCCAAAGAAAATTCAGAACGCCGAGGTGAGCGCAGTAAGATCGCAAACATCGCCACAGCATCGCCGTAGCATCGTAGTGGCATCGCAAAAAACGCCGACCAACGGCGCGCATTTTGAACATGCTCAAAACAAACGCCGTCGTTCGGCGTTCTAAAATGAGCGCAGTAGCATCGCAGTAAGGACGCCGTAGCAACTCAGTAGCATCTCCTACAACGCAACAGGAGCGCTGCGAAAGCGCAAAAGGAACGCCGAATGAACGCCGTGGTTATCCACGGCGCTTGTACGGAGACTGTGCGACGTCTTTACCGCGCTTAAACTGCGTGTGTACGGCGCTTTCACGGAGCTTTACGATTTCAACGCAGTGTGAGCGCCGCGAGAGCGTCGTATGAGCGCCGTAAATGCGCAGTGAAAGTGCAAAGAACGTCATAGAAGCGCAGTCCGAACGTAGACAATCGCCAACTAAAACGCCATCGAAGCTCCGTAGCATCGCCATGATCGCCGTGAGCACGCCGTGAAGACATCAACAATATTACATTTTTTATTGCGACCTCGCGGCGCTTTGTTAAATTTAACAACGCCGTGCGAACGCAGTGAAATCGCATTCTAGTGTGACAGGGCCTTTAGATAAAGTAGAGACGTAAGGAAATCATATCAACATTTATGGGTTGGTTAATCCCTGTGTTATGTGTGTATATCACATGAAATATGTGATAATACTCCAAAAATACATAATGGATGAATATTTTTGTTTCGTATTTTATATAAATTGAATATATGCCTGCGTTTATGATATACATGTATATTGTTTTGTTTTTATTCTTGAATGCATATTGTTATTGTTTTGTTATTTGAGGGTGATATTGTTATTAAAACTCTTCATTAATATTTTTTTAGAAAGTCGTCATTTTATTTCATTTTATTGTTACTACATACTGTGGCTTAAGATTATTTGTGAAAGTCGGTATTTCGTCAACCATATCTCGTATGACTTTGGCCAACATCACGCATTTCCGTAGCAAAATTGCATAAGTAAGATCTATAATTTGACACATGTTTTTGGACCTGGTCGTAGCGACAATAATTCAATATTACAAGGCACGAACATTTCCGAAATATGTCGGTTTTTCCACGAATGATTTCTGAATTATTTTACTCAAATATATCTTCAGAATTTTAATAATTTGCTTATTCACTTCGTACGTGATATGGAAAGTTATGAAATATGTCGATTTTTCACAACGTAATGATTTTTATATTAACTTTATTCTTTATTAAGCTCAATCCGTTGCCTGGCAACTGAAGTAGCTTTATCATTTAAATACAATAAAGAAATATTATTTATGTATCATAGTATGCGTGCTCTTTTGATGTTAAATGATACCACACTAAATAATGTTAATACGTTAAATAGACTTTTCCATGCATCAATCTGGACAAAAACACTCGACATTTTAGATTAAAAGTTTGAAATATACAGTGGTGTAAAGGCGAACAATGCAGACCATTCTCAGAAGGTGCTGATGTACCGGATGATCTTGGTTTGTACTGGTCACACGGTCATCAGTATGAAAAAGGGTTGAATACTGTGATTTTTGCAGATTTATTGATGTTTGGTCAAAATTGAATTTACTGTCTGCTATTGAAAACAAAATAAATGATATTTAAAACGTTCAACGTCAAGTGAGATACCTTATAGGAGATGGATTTGAATGTACGATTGTAGATAGTAATTTGCCTAAATGAAACTAAGACATATCACTTGTCATTCTGGGATAAAGAAATTCATAAATTTAACTATAGTTGATCATGCGACTGCAATAATTACATTTATTATTGTATCTTTTTAAGTTATTATGTTGCTCCGGTCGGTCGTCTGCTTGCTTTAATTTGATGCAATAGTGCAGCATCTTGTAGATCTTTTATCAAATTAAATAACAATAACTACCTAACACAATATTGATGATTTCGTATTCACTAAGTTCATTTGTATTTTCTAGTTTTGTAGTTAGCTAACATATTAATCGAACTTTGAAATCCTTTATTATTATATCTGTTTTTGAAAAAATATATAGGACAAATAGAAAAAAAAATTGAATATCAATATATGTTTCGCTTCATTAGCTTCGATACAAAATATGAAAAATAATAGGAACAATTAATACACGTTGCTCTTTTTATGAAATGTACTCGATTTATATTAATCAGTGTATTCGTGTTTTTTTTGTAAAATCATCTGTGTGCGCACATTCTGATTGGGCGCCAGAAAATAATGGCTTACAATTAATTGCTGTTTTGCTCTTTTTATTTTTTTTATTTGTGATAACGTTATTATTTTTACAATAAATTTGAGCCGCGCCATAGCAAAAATAACATAATGGGTTTGCGACCAGCATAGATCCAGACCAGCCTGTGCCTCCGCAGGATCCATGCTGTTCGCTATCAGTTTCTCTACTTGTAATAGGGTTTTCCAAGCGAACAGCATGGATCCTGATCAGACTGCGCGGATGCGCAGGCTGCTGCGCTGGATCCATGCTGGTCGTAAACCCATTATGTTGATTTTGTCATGACGCGGCTCATTTGTGTATAAATGGCAAATTATTAAATTAATCACGGGATAATGCGTTTGTGAATGAGCATTACGATGGCTACGACCATGTTTCCTCGTTGTTTGTATTGTAATGATTGTTATATAAAACAATAATTGATTAAATAAATTGAAGATAATCCCAGGCTTTGTGTTATATATTTTTGATATATTATATTTTGTTACATTACTTATATACTCGTACATGTTATTTTGTCAGAGAGAAATACTTGCATTCAAGAATCCAGGAATAAAAACAGAAACGTTTTAAAGACAAATTTGTGTAAATATCTTCATATTAATAATAAGGCTATTTTAGTAATATTTTGCAAAAGGAAAATAGATTGAAATTTTAAAAGACAAAACAATTCTACGCTTAATAGAAAAACATACTCGTATAAGTGGTATATACTAAATGTGCTGTATAAGGAATAATTCTGGCCCTTCCACACTGTCTTAATCTCTTGAAATGGAAAAGATTTGTTACAGATGCTTTTCATATACGCACACATATTGTATACGGAATATCTAACGCAAGTACTGTGCAAACGGTGCTAGGTGGGCAGCACGTTGTTCTTTTAAACTTTGAATGTCACAATGGGTTTATTGATGTCTGAAAGGTCGCCCTGTACAATAATCTTGGCGTTATGAAAATTCCATCTTTCTTAATGTCTGATTGAAGTACTGTTAAGTGTTTAAGGTCCAATTTTGCTTAAATCGGTGCCAGGGTACAAGCAAGAGTTCGTGGTCTAAGAATATTCAAGGTTTTGTAATTCTTATTGTCAGGATATAGTTAATTGAATTTTACAGTATATATTGTTTGCCTTGTTACGAATCGAGTTGTTCGGATCAATGGTCCTATATGTGTTTTATATGTGATTAGACAAAATTTTTGTTTCGGATCTTTTCTTCGGTTTAACTTAGTACATTATATCAGGCACGAGCGGGCACCTGATAGAACCACCGACCTTCCGTAAGCGAGTTGGATAGTTTCCTCGGATTCAGTCAGAGATACGAATTCATAGTGATGACAGGCAAGCGATTTGTAGTCACTGACCTTAACCACTCGGCCATGTAGGCCTCAAACCTGAAGTTTTATAAAAGGGATACATCAATTGAAGCCTTATTGCACAAAATAGAAGATAGCATAGCAAGGATCAGGAGTAATTATAAATCATGTGTTTGTGGACATTACTGAAATAGTTCCTTATATAAACATAGGGAAAAAAAAAACATATTTAAAGTTACATATACTTGTGGTTTTATTAGTAGATGTTTAAAATGTTTCATCAACAAGTAATACTGTTTGAGATATATGATCTATTAAAGAAATACTTAATTACAATGTAGATGTGTAAAGTGACCATTTGTTGGTATTGACTTTAAAAATATCATTGTAGAACAGAAGAACATGCATTTACTTAAGGTTAAAATTTTATTTTTTTTAGAAATAAAAGTCCTAAAGTCTTATCATAAGATAACTCAATGAAAATGCAAATATTATGATTATCATTAGTTTTAAATTCACACATTTACACATATCTTATTAGAAATGGTAAACAAAAGAAATATCCACCTGGGATCAGAAAGCTGTTGTGATTTTTGAAAAATAGCACATCTTGAATGAGATGAAGAACCCTTTAAAACATAGAAGGGACTCCACTAAGCTTTTTCGACATGACAGTATAAACTTAATGAAGGTCTTAACCAATAACTTGTGTGCAAATTTTGAGTTCAATCCCATCACTCCGTTTTTTCCTGTTTTTTTTTTTTCATCTTCTTCAGAATAATCATTTTTTATTGTGAAAATGACCTAAAAATGAAAAGCGTTGCAACGTCTTTAACTCAAATCCTGCTAAGAACTGCACACATTTCAATTCTGAGTATATTTCTTATCTTTTGCAGGGTTTCCTATTTAAATTTAAGTATTTCACTAGAAATTTGTTTTTTTTTTTTCAATTTTTTTTTTAAACCTTTGGCCCTTGTGGAGTTCCTTTAATAGCATTAGAACAGTTTGTTTGTACATATGCCTATATACATGTATCATATTTATGCTAAAATTGTTAGAGGAAATCACCGGGTATTGTTAATAAATCAGGGGAAAACAAAATATAAAATTTACGCCATGTACCTTGTAGACATCACACATTTTTGTGGTTTTCATTCTTTCCTGGTTACAATTGTTCAATCAACAACAACAGTACAATAATAGTGACGAAATAAAAATAATAATAATGAAAATAATAATAATAATGACCAGGGTAAAAAAAGACATACAAAAACCAAATAAATAGATGATAACAAATGACATGCAGATATATACTGAAAATTAAATGACACAAATTAAAACGGTTATAAATGTAAATGATATGTATTCTTTGAAAGTACTTTTATACGGCTTCTTCTTATACTTCTAATACTGGAACAACTGACAATAAAAAACTCGACCGTCATAACTACGTTACTCAATCCGAACAGTTGCCAAAGAAGAATCTGGACATCTTAACTATGGTGACCATTAAACCCAACTATTGATATAAAATAGAATGTGTTAATTTTGCTGACCCTTAAATCGTACAGTAGACACCAAAGAATCTGATCATCTTATCTCTGTTGGCACTTATGCCGTACAATTGGCATTAAATGATAGGCATCTTAACCCTATTTACACTAAAGCCGTTCAATACACTAAAGCCGTTCAATTGGCATTAAATGATATGTCATCTTAACTCTGTTTACAATAAATCCGTTCAATTGACATTAAATGATAGGTCATCTTAACTCTATTTACACTAAAGCCGTTCAATTGACATTAACTGATAGGTCATCTTAACTCTATTTACACTAAAGCCGTTCAATTGACATTAAATAATAGGTCATCTTAACTCTGTTTACACTAAAGCCGTTCAATTGACATTAAATGATAGGTCATCTTAACTCTGTTTACACTAAAGCCGTTCAATTGACATTAAATGATAAGTCATCTTAACTCCATTTACACTAAAGCTGTTCAATTGACATTAAATGATATGTCATCTTAACTCTGTTTACAATAAAGCCGTTCAATTGACATTAAATGATATGTCATCTTACTTCTGTTTACAATAAAGCCGTTCAATTGACATCGAATGATTGGTCCTCTTAACTATGTTTACACTAAAGCCGTACAATTGACATTAAATGAAAGGTCATCTTAACTCTGCTTACAATAAAGCCGTTCAATTGACATTGAATGATTTGTCATCTTAACTATGTTTACACTAAAGCCGTACAATTGACATTAAATGATAGGTCATCTTAACTCTGTTTACAATAAAGCCGTTCAATTGACATTAAATGATTGGTCATCTTAACTCTGTTTACAATAAAGCCGTACAATTGACATTAAATGATAGGTCATCTTAACTCTGCTTACACTAAAGCCGTAGAATTGACATTAAATGATAGGTCATCTTAACTCTGCTTACACTAAAGCCGTAGAATTGACATTAAATGATTGGTCATTTTAACTCTGTTTACAATAAAGCCGTTCAATTGACATTAAATGATTGGTCATCTTAACTCTGTTTACACTAAAGCCGTAGAATTGACATTAAATGATTGGTCATTTTAACTCTGTTTACAATAAAGCCGTAGAATTGACATTAAATGATTGGTCATTTTAACTCTGCTTACACTAAAGCCGAACAGTTGACATTAAATGTTTGGTCATTTTAACTCTTTTTACACTAATTAATGCCGAACAGTTGATATTAAATGATCGGTTATCTTAACTCTGCTTACACTTAATCCATACAGTTGATATTAAATGATTGGCCATATTAACTCCGCTTACACTAAAGCCATACAGTTTATATTAAATAATTAGTATTTTTAACTCTGCTTACACTTAAGCCGGACAGTTAACGTAAAAAATCCGTTAAAACTCAAAACCAAACAACTGGGGTGGGTTTCATAAAGAATCTTAGGACCGATTTTAGTAGTAAGTGCAAAACTGGCATAAAAATGCGTTTCAAGAAAAGTCCTAAGTGCAAACTTAAGACTAAAGTTATGACTATTCCTATGGGTGCTTCTGAGCACTCCTAAGTTTTGTCTTAAGTATAAAAACACGTGCGGAAACAAATATGGCGGCACTGGCTGTTTTGTTTGATGAAAGACGTGCTTTAAGGCGTGAACGTGTCTTTCGGGACCGTTCACAGGCCCTAGACGTATATACGGACAAAGAACTTTTGTCTAGATATAGATTTCCTAGGAATGAAATTATAAGATTGACTAATTTAATTGAGGAGGATATCAAAATGCCCACAATGAGAGGCAAAAGTATTCCTCCCCATATACAGGTATATCTTTTTAACGGTCTGTTACTTATTTTTTATTTTACAGGCTACTTTTGGTGTTGTACATCCTTAGTAACGGTTACCGAGATGTAATACAGTACACCGCTCTTCAATGGAGATTGGTTACTTCCGCAAGTTCCCGTATGAAATTTGACGGAATTTGACAGCTGATCTTGTTCAAATCATATCCAATTTTGCTGAAGATTGGTACATTTTTGTCTTCGAGGAAGCAATTGTTGTTTATTTAGTCACTAATAATGGATATCATTGATGAAGATGTCATTTAAGAATAAAAAATGAATGCAACAAAGACCATGAACCGGAACCGAGGTATTACTTTCTATCCATCATAGTTGTTACATGCATTAATAATAAAACTAATATATGCCTAATAATGTTGAACAATATCGAGGTTTTTAATGTGTTTCTGAATTTATTGAATTATGTTGTAAAACAATGCTGGGATACGTATTACTTTATGTCATCTACATGAGGGAACACGACACCACAATCCCCCCAGACACTTCATCCCTCATACATAGTTTGGGGGACGTTATCAGTATAATATTGACAAATGTATAAACAGAACTGTTAAAATTATATTCTGTAAGTTTGATACAGAGAACATTTTTTTCAAAAATATACCCACAGAAAACATTAATATTATCATTTCTTAAATTTGATAACTTTTAGGTTGATAATCTAAATTTAAAGTGGTGCAAATCGTTAGCAAATTGGGGTGAATGGTCAAGAATTTGGAATAGCCTATGAAGTGTGGTGGAATCTTTTAACTTTTTAATGACATGTGTTTTTTATCCTTCTAGTTACCAAAATGCAGTTTGCTGAACAACCCATACCTTTTTGGTTGACTTAACCATGATGAACAACCCAGCTTATGTATAGGACAATATCCAGCATGTGTCATAGCCAAGGTAGTATTCTATGCTTCCAAGAATAAATTGTTAGGTTTTATGTCTTGACATTGCAGACGTCATATTTAAGGCAACTACCTGAATCACTCATTTTTAATGACAATATATATTCACATTGTGACCTCTATTTAACATGTTGATTAAAGGGTCTCACCTGAGGTTTAAAAGCCTAAAAACATAACATTTGAATTTCATACATAAATGAGCTAGGGCACTTTCAACAGAATTATATGCAAAAATAGTTAAGAAATATACTTTGAAATAAATTGAAAATCGTATTTTTATGCTTTTTTCAGCCAGTTTTGAGTGAAAGTTTTTAAACACTTTTCATTTTGTGTCATTTTTTACAATTTGAAAAATTATTGTGGAAAAACAAAGTGCGCAAATGATCTGATATTTAGAACAAAGATTAGAGGTCTAAACCTACATCAAATGGTACATTTATCTGGAACAAATATTTTCTTTCCCATCAAAAAACCTCAGTGGAGTCCCTTTAAGAAATAATGTATCCCAAACTGTGATTCTGTCAATAGGTAAAATCACCAAAATTGGATATATTATTTCAATTCTAACCCGACATCAAAAAATAAATGCTGTTTCTGTACCTATTTTCAGTGCGTCACATTTTTAAATGGTAATGTCACATGTATAATGACTACGTCACATGTCTAAATTTAGAATGTCAACAGTGATTTTGTTGCATAATAACACACACTTTAGGTTTTTCTTTGTTCAATAGGGTAAAATCCGGGTTTTGTTAGAATTTAAATTTACAAAGAGACAGTCAATCAATTTTCATTATTTTCTAATAATCAAAATTGAGCATATTGTAACTAAATGTCATATTCACAGTTTTAAGTTTTAGTAAACAATTATTTATATATTTTTTCTAAATTGTATTATATCCAAGACAGTGCTGTATACTTGATCAAGTTTTTTGTCTACATTTCCTTTAAAATAAAATGATATTAGGCAATCTGTTTTATATTTAATGTAAAACAAAATTCAACTCTGATATGATCATTAGGTCATTGTCATTTAGTATAAAGATAATTTTTGAAATAAAAAAATCCAAACTACCCCACTTAAAAAAAGAAGAAAAAAACAACCTTTAACTCCCTTTGCATTGCATAGGTTCTCATGATTTATTTAAAAAAAAAAAAAAAAATGTCCCAAAATGATGCTCTAAGTCCTGTCGTTAAAAATACTAGTTCAATAATACCTTTTATCACACACCCGTGCCGATTTTGCGACTCCGTAAATATGGTATTGCACGGCCGTGCATATATTTTGACGTGACGTCATTAGCGTTATACAAACATAGTGTAAAGACGCATTTCACTTTAAGCGGTCTTTATTTTGGGTATGTGATAAATAGAATATAAAATTCGTGTAAGTTCATTACTAAATTTATTGCACTCGTTGGATAAAATAATATTATGCTCGCCAGAGGCTCGCATAATATAATTTTATTCAACTCGTGCAATAAATTCAGTATTGAACTTACACTCATTCAATATCCTCTATTTACTGTATGTTTTAATGCATCTCTGCCTAATATTGGTGAAATCTTAAATAAATATTGGGATATATTACTTTTGTCTGATAAGGTAAGCGTTAAAAATATACATACCATGTTCAAACCTATTTTAGCATATAGACGTCCTAAAAACATTCGAGATTATCTTATGAGAAGTGCTTTACTTGATCGCACATTTTTATCTAGCCAATGTTTACGAAGTAGATGTTCACATTGTAACAATATAATTGTTGGTTCCCAATTTAATAGCAGCATAACAGGTAGTTCTTTTGATTTACACAATGATGTTAATTGTACTACGCGTAATGTAATTTACCTCATTACATGTAAAGGCTGTAAAAAGCAATACGTTGGTCAGACTAATCAAAATGTATCATGCAGAATGAATAAACATAGATTTGATATAAGAAATTGTGACGTTAATCCAGTTTCACATGTTGCGATCCATTTCGGATCAAACGATAATAAGTGTTCATTGTCAGATTTTTCATTTTTACCTATAGAAATTATAGACAACAACATGGACCGGTTATGTAAAGAATCTTTTTGGATCCATAAATTAAATACTATGATTCCAAATGGACTAAATAATAAAGTATTGTTTGATTTATAATAGGTTACATGAATATTAATATGTTTGTCTATTATCTTATTTTTATTAACACTGTCTAATAGACATCTGTATCACTGTTGATCCATTTTAATTCATGTACCAGCTTTATTAATAGCATAAATATTTGTTTCTACATGTTATCATAGTTTTGCCGCTAAACGCCATAACGTTTTTCGCGCGTTTAACGCGTGTTCCGTTATGACGTCGCTTCCGGTAATTTTATTATGTTTTGCACTGATGAAGGCATATAGCCGAAACGTTTGCAATTAAATTAAATTACTAAATGTTCGTGTTTGTGTGGCTTGTCTGATCATGATTTATTTTGTAATTTATTTCAACAGTTCTTTGATGAGAGATGCTGCTGCTTATGAATGTAATGGCAAAGACAGATTTGAAGTACAGGATACAGTGCAACAAACAGTCAAAAGTTACCTTACCAGATTTGTGGAAACACTAAACATAGGATTGTGAAGAACATTTTAATATTATTTGACAATCCGAGTATAACATTCACAGTAGATATGTGATTTCAAAGAAAGTGCTCAAATTCTGTTGTATTTGATAACTTCATATTATGGAGATAATGAATTTGCGCAAGACATTAGAATGTGTTTTGTACATTCTATCAATCATGGTCCATCAAAATGAACATTACTTATTTAAATGGCTTACAAATTGAACAATACTGTTATATCTTTATAAACTGATTTTTGTTTTGAATTTTTACATCTATTATTTTTTGAAACCTGTTCTATAATTATAGAACAGTTTTCAAAAAATAATAGATGTAAAAATTCAAAACAAAAATCAGTTAATAAAGGTATACAGTGCATCTGTATTTAAACGTAACCCACGCCTGTAACATGTAAAGCTCTTAAATGGCTGTTCAAAGGCCAATGAACTCACACCTATAACATTTATTTGATTAACTTAATACCAGTTACTCAATATTGTTTCAAGGTACATAAATGCAGTTATACGGTGGCCTGGCAGTACCCATGACGCTTTTATATTAGCAAATTCAACACTGCCAGGCATATTTGAATCAACGAACAATGGATGGCTGTTAGGGGACTCCGGCTATCCATTGAAGAAATGGTTGATAACACCGCTACTGAATGTGAATACCGAACAGGAGAGGCGTTTCAATGAAGCGCACATGGCAACAAGGTGCCTTATTGAAAGGTCTTTTGCACTTTTGAAAGCTTGCTTCAGGTAAATTTCACTTTATCTACATGGCATGTTCTTGTGATAAAAACAGTTATAAATAAAGAAAAAAAGAATTATCATTTTTACATTCAAGGTTATTATGACCTTGACCTTTGACCTAATGACATCAAAATCAGTAGTGGTCTTCTACTAGTATTGAGAAATTAAAATATGAATCACCAAGACTTCATACTTCAAGATAATAAGAAGTATAGAAGATAATGAGTGGAAACAATTCTAACATTAAAGGTCCATTGACCTAAAGACCCTAAAATCAATAGGGGTCATCTACTTGTCATGACCTATCAATATGTAAAATATAAATACTAAGTGATAAAAACTTTTCAAGATATTGAGCGAAAACCGTTTTGACATTAATGGCCCCTATGACAGTATGTGAAATATGAAAACTTTGTGATAAATAGTTTTTAAGATAATCAGCAAAAAGCATGTGATCTACCAACGGACAGACAAGACCGACTGTCATTAGCAAAACAATATACCACCTCTTCTTTGATGGTGGGCATATAAAAATCATTCACTTGCTATAAACTGATATATATTATCTACAAATGTGAAACTGTAATAATAAAATTATTCAAATTTCGTTGAAAAATGACTATATTTTTTGCATGATACATTTTGCAGATGTCTTCACAAAACTGGAGGTACACTTCCATACAGACCAAACAAGTGTGTTAAAATTATAGAGTCATGTTTCAAACTGCACAATATGGCGCTGGACTTAAATCTTCCAAATCCTAATACTGACAACAATCAAGAAATCGTACAGAATTGTAGCAGGGATGCGTTTTCAACAATTTCCAAGAAGTTACTCATTGGCCATAGGCGGAATACTCAAAATCAGTCACATGACACTCAAAATGATTTGATAACATAGGCAATTTTGTTTCCATATATAGTAGCAAGTGTATTAAAGCTGCACACCTCCACATGAGCCAAATATTTTAAGAAATTCAATCTTTAGAAAAATGTATTAAGGTCTTAAGAAAGGTAAAAAGATTCATTCATATTTTTTGAATAAAAATAAATAATATCATCGCCATTTAAGGTTGATAGTCTAATTTTTTTTCAGTTAAAGACTTCTTGTACTTAATGAAAAATTTGACTTCCAGTGGGGAAAGCAGATTTTAATAGTAAAGTTAATATTAAAAACATTTCATTTAAACTTGTATTTAAGCATAAAAGAAGAAGAAAATTTGTTTGTTTGTTTGTTTACTAAGATGCTATTTTATTTCATCTTGTGAACTATAAAAAACAGTGTTCTATGGCACTTGTGAGAGTACTGTTTTGAAAGCTCACTCAATGAATTAAAATTTATCTTACACACAAACAAACAAATATCCTCTATCTCTTGAAAATGTTTCAATACAGTCAAAATATATATATGGTGTTCAGATAGCTGGTGTCTATTTCCATGAAAGTGTTTGCACATTTTTTCCACTTCTGTAAGAACAATAGGGGATGAAAAATGTGTAAACACTTTCACTAACATTCAAGAAGAGTATTACTTAATAAGCTTTCAATTTGTTTATCACGCAAAATATGCAGCATTGACTCTACAGCTTCTGCAGTTCTCTTCTGGAAAGAAACACTCTCCTCCAGAAGCTGGACTTTTCTTTTCTTTAATTCCAAGGTCTCCCTTGCCAAGGCCAGCTTTTCCTCCTCAATTTCCAAGAAGCGCCCCTTCTGAACATCTTCAGCTGAGGTTAAAAATCCATAATTCAACAAGAAGTTTATTGCACAAATCAATTTAGTTCTAATAATTTGTCAATATACATTTCAAACTGATGTCTTACATTAAAATTGACTTTTGACCATTAAACTGCTAAAATGAACAGCCCTGTATGACTTTTGGCAAGATGTCTACAGTCTAAGATACGTCATATTAGACTAAATTCATCATGTTTCTCATTTAAAAGAGAAAAAATTTAAAATCACATGTTTCCAATAGGAAGTAATTTATCCTAAACACTTATTTTATCGCTAAATAAATAACAGTTTATAACAATAATGGCAATGAGTGTGACTTCTTGCACAGAAGAATGTAAATGAGCATTTGTTGTACTACATACATGGTAGAGTCATGATATCACTGATTGTTTCCTGTTACAAAAAATGTAATGCGCTAATACTATTTTGCTTAGACTTTAACTTTGCATGCATTACCTTTTCTGATACTGGTTTATTTAAAGAATGCAATAATTATACATTCAAATTTATATAATTGCGATAGATTATTAGAGAATAGAAGATAATTTATTTACAATACATGAGACAGAACAATACTTACTGCTACAAATACCCCGTCTCTTCTCCCTGCTCATGGTTTTTTCTGTAAATTGATAATTGAAACACATGTAATAGTTCTGTTAAATTTGGTCTAATTTTGTTACATTTTTAATATGATGTATGGTGACATCGACTTTCTTTTCCTAAAGAAGCAAAATTTACGCATGACAGCATTTATTTCTGCCTGTTATTCCATTTCGTTATGATTTTCTATTCATCCGCATTCAGATATAGTCCGGCTACTGTGAAAATTATATTTTATAAATTTCACTAGTGTTTTATCAGAATATTATCATCTGATATATTACAATAAAACACTGGAAAGCATGAAATAAACTTTTCAATTCAAATTTATAGGAAATAATTTAACATGCCATTTGAAAAAATAGCTATTTTGAAATAGGGCAATTAATGTGAGAATAAAGTACTGACAGTAGATTACATTTCCCATTATTAACTGAACATTTGTTTAAAAGAATATAACTTAAAACTTTGGTTAATTCATCTATACATTTTCCTATCATTTAATCAATGACTTCAAATCGGTTCATAACATTTTTTGTATTGATTTGTTGTGTAGTTATGTTTTACATAATCAATCCAATATGTTTAATTGTCTGTGATGTTCTACTCAAGTTCTGTACTTGTGTTTTGCCTAGCCAATTCAATATGTTTTAATGTTTATGAAGTTCTATTCAACAACATTTAAACAGCTTTTAACAAAGGAAGGGTGCAAAGAACCTAAGCTGAAGATTATACATTAGGAAAGATAAACAATTAAGCACTTATATAATTTAAGCTGATATATTATGTAATAATTGACTATGAGTACAAATACAATTCAAATGGATGATAATGACTTATATACACGTTTACAGTCTCACCTTTGGAGGAAGAGCTTCTTGCACTAACCTGGTCCCCAACCAATGAATCTTAAAAGTAGAAACCAATACAAACATCTTCATTTTGTTCCTATGGAATCATAAGAAAACCAGCAACATGTAGTTAAAATATGTCAATCAAACATGTATATAGCATCAATTTTTCTAAAATGCCTCACACTTTCATAAGATGATGTTCCAAGCTTGAGGTAAAACTTATGAATGACTGTTTACAGAGACAACAAATGTACAATATAAACCTTAAATATAAGCATATGGTCCAAATTTGAATAGCTTGACATCAAATAACAAGAAAGAAGCTCAAAAGTTAAATCTCTATGTAAGCTGATATCAAAGTTTAATGTTACCTCTAAAAGCAGTTGATGTAATCTAGATTTCAAATTAGATGATAAGGTCAAAATCTAGGTCAGCAGATCAACATCTTATACTGTGGACATGGTATAAACACTAACAGCCTAAAGTTATGATCGAGGTTAAAGTTTGTAGACATCAATGGCAATGGCGATCTTACTATTGCCAATCTGACTGTGACAATAGCTCAATTATTTAAGAAACCACACAAATACTATTAAATACCTTTAACCTTGGTATTACTGTCAACTTCTTCCTCTCTGCCTTCTTCTACGGTAACGTTAACTGAAATGTTGAATATAATAAAGCAGACATTCAATGAGAGTAGGTTTAATACTGAATTTATTTAATTAAAAAGAAGAATAATTTGATCATCTAAACTCAGATTATCATAAAACGAAATACTTGACAATGAAGAATATGTTTATCTTCCATTAAAACGAAACACTTATTCTTGACATATAAGACTCTGATCATCTTAATTCTGCTTACACCAAAACGAAATACTGGACAAAAAGTTATCATTTTAAATCTGCTTACCCTCAAAAGAAACACTTGACATTTAAGAATTTGCTCATGTTAACTCTGATGATCATAAACCAAACAGTTGACAATAAAAAAATCCAGTCATGCTTACTATTGTTAGACAAAGTAGAGGAGAACAACTTGATTTTTTAACTTTTTTACTAGTACTAGTCTTCTTTTATAACATGGGTGCTTTATCTGTTTTATAAATGCATTTCAACGTGACATGTTTTTTTGTAACATGTCCCTTCTATTTGTGAGTCCGAAGGAACAAGTGACGCTAAAAACTACCAAAGTAATGTCAAGATGATAAGGAAAATGATGAAGAATATCAAAATATTACGTAGAAAATAATGATAATGATCTTTTCTGCAAATCATATTGTAATCTCCCCCAATGATCTGTTCCTTTATAGCTTCAATCAATGTCTGTTTCGAATCTGAAAATGAAAAAAGAAAAAAAATAGGTTAAAGACATTTTACTCCAAAGAATGACATAAATATTGAATAAAGTCCAAATTACATCATATTGGTCCTAAGTTATCTTGAAAACATTAGGACAGCATAAAGCGTGATTAATTGACACCAGTCGCAGTTTTGACATTTATTAAGATTTCGTCCCTGTCATGCCATATTAACATCTAAAAGGCCTTTTAGATTTTATTTATATGATACATGTTTCATGATAATATCCATATAGCATGAATGATGTACAGTATTACCGTTAATAAATCCTTTGCGATTTCATCTAAATATTACCTTGACAACATCTATAAAGCCTTTTACAAAGAGCTAGGTTCACTAACCAATATTTTGGCAAAAAATAATTTGATGCAAAGTTCTTTTTTTTAAGTTTTATTTATAAGTTCAATCCTTAAACTGTTCAAAACATATAAATTTATAGGCATATGTTTACATTTAGTATGATTTATGTTCTATGGAAATACCCCTATTTCCAGCAAAATTAGGAAAATTCACGTATTTTTGGTGTTTTAAATGAAAATTAAAGTATCAGCACAGTCCAGCCCCAACAAAACCATTACACAATTGTTTTGTAATGCATCGAAAGCTTTAACTATAACAATTTAAAGTTGGGGCTTGCCTGTGCTCTATTCCAAAATTAGATTTTTACCTAATATCTTAACGTCATTTTCTGACATTTATTTCATTAAATGCAAACCATGGAGCATGTATACTGCACTCAAGATTATCAATTTTTGTTCTAAAATGTTGAAATATGATTCATAACATATATTTTAATAAATGTTTGTAGGAAAATCATTTCTAGTAAATTAATGGCACTTTCACTAAAATGAGTACGATTAAGTTTTTGTACGAGTTCGACCGGTTTCCACTGAAACAGTTGTTAACAAAACTCTGACAGGTTAAAAGAATTATATGTAAACGTTTATAAATAAATGCTGAAATTCTGTTTATGCCTTAAATATTTCATGCTTAGAATTAGCAAGGTGTTGTTATGTAATTTTATTGATTCATTGAAAGGAGTTATTCAGGCTATTTTATTGCTGAATACTTGATCTGGGTCCGGTTCTTTCGCCCTCACAAAAAGACAACAACAGCAACAACAAAAAAACTGTGGTCGTTTAAACACAGTAATTATGAGGTTTTCATGTCTTTTTAAAAGGAAGATTAGAAGAATACAATTAACTTTGTGACAATAAAATTATCGCAAGTCTCAAAACAATTTAAAGATGATGTGTGTACTGTAGAGTATTAATTTTAAACTCTATAATTCCACATCGTCTGCATTGATGTATATGTAAAACTACTTGTTAAATGATGTCATATCATCTTGGAATGTTGCATTAGCTAAGTGATAGCATGGAAGCCTCTAACCCAGGAGATTTGAGTTCAAATCTTGATCACGAACTCTTTTTTTCTTCTTTTTTTTTCATTTTCTTTTTCATAATCCATAAAATAGAAAGTGCTTTTTCAGTAAATAATATGTTATTTCATTAATGTATTTATTCCTTCAGATTTTTAGCATTTTAAGTCAGTGCTATCTCATAGTTAGTTATTAAGGTATTAAAGATTTGTTAGACTACAGTAGTTCAGCAAGAAGTTTGAAATCTTATTAATTTAGTATTATTCTTATTAAAAATATTCACAAGAAATTGACAAAGCAGGAAATATGTTAGGAGTCAACGGACGAATGTCTTCAGTAGACTTTCCCAGGATGAGAAAGAAGCATGGTATTAAGCTCTAGCTGTTTCAAAGAATAACTAGACAGTATTGATTTGTCCTTTTTCACAAAGGATCCTTCTATTTTGTGCATGACATTGTAGAGCATACATGTAAGCAGCCATAACTACATGAATTGGATTATCTACATGAATGACAAGCAGTGTTGCGTATTACTGCCTTTTTGTGGCTGGTGCACACATAGTTTGAATGCTTTCCGATGTCTCCACTGTTACATGGTATCTCGCATATGGACACCATGAGGATTAGTGAGACTCAGTCAGGAGTGAGAAATTGGGCTGATAATCTTGCTAATCATGAATTCATAGCCATTCATTACAGCATGAAAGAGAATCGTTAAAAGTAACAGTAATAGAGAAAATGCTAAACTAAATGTTTAATTGTAGGCTTCCTTATGATAAATGTTTAATTGACAATCATTATGTAGATGTAAGGGCATATTGGAATTATTTAACAAAATCTCACTTAGGGAACTTGTTCTATGTCACATTAATTATGGATACATTGTAAATAAATGTTTTCATGCCCCCGAAGGATGGCAAATTAAAATCGAACCGTCCATCTGTTGTCATTCCGTCAGTCATTCAGACTTTATACATATAGACAGTGGTGGTCGTGTCGCTCTGAAACTTCAGTATGCATGCAAGGATTTTAATTTTTCTTTTATATATGAAATGACCATAGATGTATGGTGTGTCGCGAACTCTGGTTTCTATGACTTAGGTCAAGGTCACAATGGGGGTTCAAACTTTGTCAATTTTGATGTTAACATACATGAAGGCAGAGATGGTCGTGTCTGCTCTGAAACAAATATGCATGAAAGGGTTATATCTTTTATTTTACATATGAAATTATCATAAATGTATGATGTGTTGCCCTTAAGACTCGTGTTCTTGCGCCTTAGTTCAAGGTCACTGCTGGGGTTTAAACTTTTTCAATATTTATGTTATATACATATAAATGGTGGTTGTTTTGTCCGCTCTGTAACTTCCGTATACATGAAAGTCTCAATTTGCATTTAAAAATATAAAGTTACCATAGATGGACAATGTGTTGTGAACAAGACCTAGGTTTCTTTGTCTAACATATAGTTCACTGCTGGGGTTCGAACTTTGTCAATTTTTACCACCACACTTAACATGTTATATGTGGTTTATAACACTAGAATGCTTCGGGGGCATTTGTCACGTTCTGTGACAGCTCTTGTTTTTTTTCTCAGTTCTCATATCGTTATGGATCATTACATTACAATTGTAATAAAGGTCTGATTTCCATTATTATAAATAACACAAATCGTTTTCTGGATTTGGCTGTATCATAATTCATAAAAGAAAATAGTATCGAGTTTGAAGTTCAGTATCAAATATAACGTATACTCCAAAAGAGCATACAGTCAAACTTATTTTTACTTGACAAAAATTCTAACGCACTTTTATATCTATGAATTTACTAAATTTAGACGAAATTTTACACTATACATTGGAATAAGTCAACAACTACTAGTATTTACATACTATTTGCTTACATGTATATAGGTACTCAGTGTAAGTTTAGTTAAGTTAGACAGAAATACCTATCTGTTTTGTGTTATAATAATAATAATAATAATAATAATAATGATAATATATTATTATTATTATTATTATTATGTTCAACGTCCTTGTCCAAAGACTGACTAAAAAGGCCCTTGAAATTGCGATTGATTCTATACACCTTTTTTAAGCATAATAAAGGAAGTAGATAAATTAAACAAGCAAATTCGACATTTATTATTAAAAAATGAACAAACTTACAGTATTTATAAAAATAAAAATAAATACATTTAGTTAGGCGAAAAATAATATGCATGCACATTTTTATTTCTAAATATCCGAATTTGGAATATCCGAAACAAGCCCCATTTATCTTTTATATTAGTTTTGTGACACAATAGTCTAATTTTAACTAAACTATAATTTTGTTTACAAAATATAAGAAATATATTGCTATCTTTATGAAATTAATTCAGTCAAACACAAAAATTTATTAGTCTTGTATGAAAATTGTCGTCAAATTTGTGATTTAATTGAATTAAACAGGTGCTCCAATTATGACGCCATTATGTCGTCATAGTAACCAGACATGCCTTATAAATGTATATTTTGAAAACGTAACACATTGTTCTATACACCTTTAGGTTTTTATCAATATCTAAGATGGGGCCAATTTTGGTGCTTAGTGAACCTTACTCTTTAATATATATTATACCGTATTAACATCTATAAAATATTTCCAAGGGCATGGATATAATAGGGCATGGATATAATACAACTAGTGATGTAATTTTCGTTGCATTATGTATAATAGAACAAGAACACCTTTTATGTAATTTGCGTTTTGATTTTGAAGAAACGACAAATAATAAACACTTATATTCCATTTTTTCTGTCTCTAAAAGTATATTTCAACCATGCAAAATACCTTTCAAATTTATTATTAATCAATTAAAAATAAGTAGAAATTAATGATTTTTTTCGAAGCATGTTTATTTAAAGTAATGCTATTATCCTTCAGATAAAAAGTCATGAGTTAAGAAAGGCAACTTTGGCACTGACAAAGGTCACTCTGACATTACTCCATACGAAGCATTTAATTAATTATTTAATTAATTATTTGCGAAAATAACATACCGTCATAGAAAACAAAGTGAACAAGTTTGCTGATGTCTCCGAGTTTATCCTTCACTGCCTTTCTATTCATAATATCTTCCATTACTTCTACAAACTTTTCACACTGTCTGCTCATGTCCTCCCTTGTTATTCCAGAAAATGGAAGATTGCCCATTTCTTTGATATTATTGATTGCCGCACAATATTCACTCATAAAGCACACACTCTGAAAAAGTTCGCTGCATGTGTAAGATATTCAGACCGTATATACAAAGATACCTCGAAACTTGTGTTTTTCTTGTAGAAACAAACTTTTCAGTTTTAACTTGGTAAATATATAGATAATAAAGGCAATGCTCTGATCACTATATTGTGTAAACTGTATTGAACCGTAAACTATGTTTCGAAAACCTACAATTGCCGATTACATCTATCCGACTAAATGCAAAAATATAACATTTTGTTTGGCCAAAAAAAAAAAGCAATCAGAAAAAGAAAAATTTAGTGTTGTTTGATTTTAATCAAGACTGCTAGAATTATTAATAGACTGCTATAAAAAAGTATATATATAATAATAGTAGTGAAAGTAATAAGTAGTGGAAATCTAGATTATAAAAGATATTTACATTTTCAGTTTCTGGGTCGGTATATTTATACATGTGAATATAAAATGTACGATGCTGACCGGCCAACTCCTTTTCCACCACTTCACTTTTTCCAACATACTGTATTACTGGTGTCTCACTTCTAAAATTGAATCGCAAGGTGATGCTTCAACAGTACATATACAACAACAAACACGAGATGTAACATTTTAGATAACAGCAAATTATTTATATATTAAAAGCTAGATCAGATCACAAGTTCAAGCTTAACTGATTTACAAGAAAGTTAAAACTAATGCTTCAATTTATAATTAAAAAAGATAGAAAAAGAATATAAACGATCTTATGCTACTTCAATGTTCCAAGATCAAGTATATAATTATAAAAGGTCCAATCCGACACCTTAAATTGGAACTACTTGGATCAAATTTCTTAAGAGAAATCAATACAAAGGCCACTCTATGAAACGTATAAAAGGACCGAATATTTTGATTATTTTATGTATGGGACAAATATTTCAGTCGCCACTCAATATAACATTGTTTGTTTTATTACAGGAAAACATTAAAGTCGCCACTCAGTATAACATTGATTATTTTATGTATGGGACAAATATTTATGTCGCCATTCAATATATAACATTGTTTTATTACAGGAAAACATTCAAGTTGCCACCCAGTTTAACATTTATTGTTTTATTTACAGGAAAAATATTAAAGCCACTTAGTATAAAATGACCTACGTTTCATTGGCCTTTTCTGCAAGCTTTGGTTCTGTTTTACAAGATAGCGGCACTATGATAAACAACTTCTCAATGCAGTCACACATGACATCTTTACTTTTCATCAGTTTCACAATTCTATCACGTAAACCTTTATCATACAGAGTTCAAACGGTTTACACAATACATCTTACAATTATAAAATAAGTAATCAAATACACATCTGGTCAGGCATATCATTTGTGTTTGTAAATTACATGTAAACATATAAATGTATGTTTTATACGTAAATTTAGCCTGTGTTATTGCGCCTAATGTTACACATCTGATTACATTATGATCTCAGTGTATTTAGCCCAACATTCGAGAATAAGTTGTAATTCAAACATGCTGTTAGTCAGAACACATGATCATAAATCAGTTATAAATGGTGCATTTTGATGATGTTGATATACTCAAACAAATACTTTAATCTGTTAAAAGTGTTACCACATGTATAAAACAAGAATTCAAAAAAACCTTTTTTTTATTTTCATATCATTTAAAAATCTATAGAAATTTGCTGTTTTAAATATAGACCTTTTTCCATTGTGATTGACTGGTAATTAATATAATTTGATATACCTGCTTCCACTGTGATTGACAGGTAATTAATATAATTTGAAATACCCGGTTCCATTGTGATTGACAGGTACTTATAATGTAATTTGATATACCTTGTTTCATTGTGAATGACAGGTAATCAATGTAATAAAGTATACCTGGTTCCATTGTGATTGACAGGTAATTAATATAACATGCCCACGCTAGACCTGTTGCAACATCTCCACAGGGTATTTTGTCTTGCATCCTTACAGGCTGTCCTACGTTTTTAAGAAAGAAAATATGAGTCGTAAAGAGCAGGTAACGAAAAATACAACATGTTACACTCAGTAAATACAATCTGGCAGCGCTACCATTTGCTTTAGCATCAATTCGAATAATCAATATGTATTAAATATATATAAGATATGAAGAATATAAATTATCATCAACAAACAAAAACGTTTACCTTTCACAATTTGTAGTATGGCTTCAAGGTAATTATGGTCGGTCACACTGATCATTGTGACCCATCTAATCATTGCCGGGATTTCGCAAGGTTCAACTCCAACCAAAACAGGTAAAACGCTAACTGAATCATTTGTTATACTGTTGTCTAAACACGCTGCACATTTGAAAGCAGTTAGATTAGTCGAGTTAAATGTTGTTTTCGATACCACCAAAATGTACCACTTCGCTGGCTTTATTGTCAGCCCTGGTTCATTTCCTCCCTCATAATCCTTTACAACTTTAAAGTTGTTTTTAACTAATTCTTTTTCAATTTTATCTGCGTGAAGCAGATCGTTACTGCAATCAGGGTGGCATAGTATTGTGACATCGTTTTCAGGTTGCTTTGCATTAGGCGAAAGAAGTGTGTGTGGGGTGTGCTGCTTTTTTGAGTCCTATAATGTTAATATGAAGATTATGCAATAACTGTAAAAAACGTCATTATCACACATATAATTAATATCTATATGTTTATAAAACTTTGTATTCTTACTCCCTATACATGCACTTAAGCGACCAGCTGTAAGTACCTGTACGGCAGTACATTTAAAATCCTTCCATGTAAATCTTTAATGTAAAGTGTTATCAAGTAAATAGCCTAGACCTTCACGCATCGGCTAGTTATAGATTCGAATTGTCGCAAGAAGGTCGTAGTACAAAAATCGTAGACGTATATATTCAAAACAGTGTCACACCAAGAACTTGCTATAATTTTGATCGAGCTTTGTTCAAAAGTACAAATTTGTCATTCTTAGTAATTTTATAGAAATTATGTTTGCTTGTCGTTGAGTCACTACTGTATTCTTTAAGTCAATAGTCATGTACTCATATTATCCTATACCATTATCATTGTATAAGTAAGAGATAAGTACCAATAAGTTCTTCCCCTATCAAAATAAAATCTTTTTTTAAATTAGTGATATTGTGATATTGCTTTTAATTTGATCATTTACAAGTTATACGTGCTTAAACTATAAAAATTTAACCTTATTCTTAAACAATATATTATTATATCATAATCATTAATGTCACATAAATTGTAGATTTAAGCCCTACTAGGACCAAGACAATGCTCCGCATTTGGGACTGAGAGTGGCAAGTTCAAGCGTAATCATCATCACAATCATCACAATCCAGTAAAGAAATATTTTTGCAATGAACTTTCATAAATTGGTGCTTACCGTCTTACACAAGTTTCGCTTAATGGCATCGTATAAAACACATTGCCTAGTTTCGCCCACAGCTGAAGAATATAAAATTTGATCAGGTTAACGTTATACTCCTATTATGTTAAAATTTGTATGATCTGTCTAAAGTTGGAGACACATTATTAATAAAGAATAGTCATACTTATTATGCTAATATCACTTAATCTGTTTACAATTAATAAAAAACGTAAAAAGTCAATATATGTCGGAATAAGAAGCATTATGCCTTACATTTTAAATGAGTTTACTTAAATTTGTGTCACTCTAAAAACTAACTGATATTAATTTCCACGTTGCTTCAGGGCCCTAACTGAGTAATTTTGACATGTCTGGACTGGAAATATCGTTTTTTCCAGACTTTTATACGATTTAATGTGGCTCTTTACACATGTCTTGTGTACACATCCTTCGCTCATTCCTTTCTTCAAATAATCAAGTTTATTGTGCATAATGACCTAAGTTAAAGGCGTTTGAGTCCAATCGGACCAGAACTGCATTAAGTATAGCTTTCAATTTCATTTTGAGTATATTCCTTTATTACACCATATTTTTTTCGATATAAGAACCCAAATTGATCTATGTAATATTTTCAAATTTTATGTGTTTCTGATTTTGGGCGTCAGTGGAGTTCCATTACTATAATTATCCATGTCATATTGTTAAGCATTACAGCAACATCACGTATTGAATGTACTTTCTAAAATTCGTTTTATTATAATTCGTATTGGCCTACGCCTTTTCGAAGAAAAAGGGGTATATCGAAAAAGGCTCCGTCCGTCTGTCCGTCCATCAATTTTCAATTGCAGTCCATAAATAAATTTATGAAAGGAATTTGAAATAACCTGGCACAAATGTTTGTTGTAATAAGACAATGTGTCATGTGCAACAACCTGACCCCTTCCTCCAAAAATAAGGCCATGCTTCGAGGACTCAAAGTCAACGTTGTCTTTTTGAGGGTATATGTCGTGTCCGGTCCATTATTTTCTTATCCATGAAGGGATTTTGAAAATACTTTGCACAAATGTTCACAATTATAAGACGATGTGTCATGTGCAAATAGTATTCGCCTACCTCAAAGTTCAAGGTCATAGTTGGGGGCCAAAGATCAACATAGTCTGTTATAGGGTATATTCTGTTTCCAGTGTCATTAAGGATTTTGAAAACACTTGGTATGAATGTTGACAATCATAATGCGATGTGTCATGCACAACACCCGGACCTTATCTCCAAGGTCAAGGTCACAATTAGAGGTCCAATCTTAACATGGTCTTTTATAGGGTATATTTTTGTGCAGTCCATAAGTCTTTTTTATTGTT